CTATATATATATATATATATATATATATATATATATATATATATATATATATATATATACTCATTCAATTCATAGGTAGAGAGTCCCATTGACAAAAGTTCCATCCCTAATTAATTATTATTGAGCGAGTAAATTTAAGCTACAAAGAATCCAAACAAAACATAACACATGCACCCATTTTATTGATTACCTTAATTATTTATACACATCATATATATCAAAAGTATATATATATATATATATATATATATATATATATATATATATATATAATATAGTATAACTTGATTATTAATTAATTTGGTAATAAAGTCGGCGGAGTTTGATTTTCAAGACGAACAAGTGACGCAGGTGCAACCCTGTTGGCAGGTGCAGGAGGGCTTTCCTGACGATGGTGTTGCTTTAGAGCAGGTGCAAGGGTTGCATCCACAGTGTTCACCACAGGAACATGTCTTATGCTCCGCCCCCGCCCCTTCACCGCCACCGCTCTGGCTCTGGAATGTACCACTCTTGCATCTGCAACACCCACGTATATTCATTAACCATCTGACTAGCTATATACATATAGCTAGGGGTGCTCATGGATTGGGTTGATCGGATTGAAGACATTTGAACAACCAAACCAAATGCTTGCGGTTTAGAAAAATCTTAACTCAACCCAACCCAAACCAAAGTGCAACCCAACCCAACCCATACGGTTTGGTCGGGTTGATACTTTGGTATATTAGAATATTCTTTTAACATTGAATATGTTATTTCTCTGCTCATAAATTTTTTTTCATCATCAACCATTTGGTATAACTTATCCATGTTTCTTACGTATATCACATTCAGTTAATTTTCTCAATTTACATATATATGTTTATAGTTACTGAACATATATATGAATGAGTTATATAGAGATATGAATAGATTGAAAATATGTATATGTGAAAAGCATACATGATAGTGTAATTGTCTAATGTATATATTAATAGAAATTCAACAATCATATTAAATTCAAGAAATAAAAAGATATCGGGTTCATCGGGTTGGGTTAGGTTCAAATAATAGTAACCCAATACATACGGTTTGACAATTTTACAACTCGATTAAATATCGGGTTGCTTCGGGTTGAGTTATTTCACGTTGTGTTGGGTTGGGTTTGGTTGGATTTTTGAACACCCCTACATATACATGCTATCTTGTATAATAATAATAATAGATTATAATATCAAAAGTATAATAAAATCACAATAATAATAAACTTTACTCTTTTAACGATTGTGATATTATAGTAAATATGTTTTATCTCTTTGTCTTTATTGTTATCACAATTGTTAAAACCATTTATTATAATATCAAAATATTTAAGTAGTTTAAATCTATTTTGAAAACTTTTTCTTATCTCTTAAAACATCAAACAAAATCTTATTTTAGAATTATATAAATAAGGGTCCAACATGCTTCCATACATGTCTTTCTCTTTGACCGAAGCATTAACCGGGTCATGTCACGAGACCTTTAACAGGTGTTTCAACCCCAACCCGCTAAAACATATAACTTATCTGTAGCTCCTTCAACAATACTCAGCTCAAGTGCTCAACCTAGTTTCGTTTCCTAGATTAGGTGTATAGAAAATAGATATGGATTTTGTTGGGAGATTTACTTATGTAATGAGAAAAATTATCAAAATTGCATATAGTTTAGAAGATAATAAAGAAAGTAAACAAGTTTTTTATTTCATCATTGAAGAGTACATACAAAGTTTTAAATAGTAAAGAACATAATGGTTAAGGGTAGGACCAATGAATATATCTTGTTTCCATCATAAGTGCGAAATCCTCTCTTAAAACTGGCTTCCATTCCTTGGAGGATGATTCGGATGCCTAGCGCCCTTATATATTGAATATCATTTTCACAAATTTTTTGAAAATTTGTCTTTTTATTAGTTATCGAAATTTGAAAAAAAATTCAGATTTTGTCAGTTTGACACTATCTTTTTTTCTTCAAACAAATCTGGTCCTACAAATAAAAAATTTAGAACCGGTATATCTTTTAAGGTTATCGTTGGGTTATTAAGATAACAATCTCTAACTCCCAACGAGGTAATTCAGAAATTTCAAGAAAAATCGGGAAAGTAAGATAAATCGAATTTATTATACCAAAATCGTACCAATGTTGGAGATGATCATTGAAGGTAATTAATTCTACAATAAATTCTTGAAAAATCTATGTACCTTAAATCTATAGAAGAAAGATTATATAAAATTTTCTATCATAAAAGTTTGATTTTCCTTAACCATTTACTGTTTAAACCTTTGTATGTACTCTTCAATGATGAAATAAAAAACTTGTTTACTTTCTTTATTATCTTCTAAACTATATGCAATTTTGATAATTTTTCTCATTACATAAGTAAATCTCCCAATAAAATCCATATATGTTTTCTATACCTAAAGTAGGAAACGAAACTAGGTTTCGGGAGCCGAGTATTACTGAATAAGCTAAAGAGAAGTTACATGTTTTAGTGGGTCAGGGCTGAAACGCATGCTAAAAGTCTCGTGGCATGACCCGATGATACTTCATTCAAAAAGGAAGACATGTACGGAAGCATGTTGTACTCTTATTTATGTAATTGTAAAATAAAATTAATTGTTTGATGTTTTAAGAGTTAGAAAGAAAAGTTTTCAAAACAAATTTAGACTAGTTAAAGTAGGAAACAAATCTGGTCCTACAAATAAAAAATTTAGAACCGGTATATCTTTTAAGGTTATCGTTGGGTTATTAAGATAACAATCTCTAACTCCCAACGAGGTAATTCAGAAATTTCAAGAAAAATCGGGAAAGTAAGATAAATCGAATTTATTATACCAAAATCGTACCAATGTTGGAGATGATCATTGAAGGTAATTAATTCTACAATAAATTCTTGAAAAATCTATGTACCTTAAATCTATAGAAGAAAGATTATATAAAATTTTCTATCATAAAAGTTTGATTTTCCTTAACCATTTACTGTTTAAACCTTTGTATGTACTCTTCAATGATGAAATAAAAAACTTGTTTACTTTCTTTATTATCTTCTAAACTATATGCAATTTTGATAATTTTTCTCATTACATAAGTAAATCTCCCAATAAAATCCATATATGTTTTCTATACCTAAAGTAGGAAACGAAACTAGGTTTCGGGAGCCGAGTATTACTGAATAAGCTAAAGAGAAGTTACATGTTTTAGTGGGTCAGGGCTGAAACGCATGCTAAAAGTCTCGTGGCATGACCCGATGATACTTCATTCAAAAAGGAAGACATGTACGGAAGCATGTTGTACTCTTATTTATGTAATTGTAAAATAAAATTAATTGTTTGATGTTTTAAGAGTTAGAAAGAAAAGTTTTCAAAACAAATTTAGACTAGTTAAAACACTTTGATATTATAATAATAACCATTTAATAATAATAATGATAATATATATATATGTCTCTCTCTTTTAATTTGATATATGTATGTATGTATGATGTATGTAATTTGAGAGAGATGGATTGAACCTGCATGTAACTCCGCCGGGACAAGGCGAAGGACAACCGCACCTCTCATCACAGATAACACCCCTTCCTTTCATGTCCGCCATTTGATTATTAATTTCTTCTCCTAATTTTCCTTCCTTTCTTCCTTTCCTGCATTATACATGATATATAGATATAGATATAGATATAGATATAGATATAGATATGTAGAGAGAGAGAGAGAGAGAGAGAGAGAGAGGGGGAGGTGTGAAGGAGCAAGGTGGCAGGTTATATATGGTGGTAGCTAGAGAGGTTGACAGATGGACATGTCGTGGCGTTACAAGAATCGATTACTCATATGCCCATGTATATATATACATAGCATTACTTGTTGACTTTAATGCATGTGTGTATCTATTTGACGGAGATAACTTTAAATCAAGACTAAATTCAAAGTAGATGATGATGGATGATATAGATACAGCTAGCTTAGTGGACCGTACGTAAAGCTAACCATCTTTGGTTACATATATCTCTATATGTATATATATATCGTATAGCTAGGGAATCAAAGAAAAGACATTTGTTTGTTATAGAAAATTAATATTAATTTGAATTGTAACAATGGCTTAAATACAAATCTTCACAATCAACGACACACAATATATATTATAATTATACTAGAAGAGTACTCGTGTAATTGAGCAAGACACATCTCGATTTTAATATTTGTTTTTGTCAATTTTATAATACGATTTTATGTGTTTTTAATAAAACAATAATGATTTTTTTAAATAAAAT